AGGGGTTTTTAACTGCTATCACCATAACCGACTCTCCCTCCTTCTCTATGTTTTTTATTTTGGCTTTTACCATGCCTCGCAAACAAAACACGTCGGCGATCTGAATGGTAACTGAGCGGTAAAGAAAAAAGTGTCATTGTGATATTTAGTAGGCTAGGCAAGTCTTTGTCGAGACTGATAAATTATTACTTTTTTTCATGGTATTTCAGATCATCTCAAATCAAACAGGTTTATGTTTTTTTAGAAAGCTCGTAATGGCTCTGAGCGAATTCGTACTGCAGTGAAGGGTTATGTATTTAGCACACGTCTAAAATCTTGTCATATGACCGTATTTTTTTAATGTTTGATCGGAATTTTTGAGCTCATTCCAAGGAATAAGTTATTAGACTGCCTGCAACACTATACGGATCGGACATAAGAAAAAGTTTTAATTGGACGCACTGAAAAATCGAGATGCTTAACGTAGACAACCGGTGCTGAAATTGGCTATAATAGGAATTATGCATGACAAAGCTCCGTTTTCTCGTCTATCCACACAATTTTGTCGTTGCAATGACTGGTCGCAAATGGCAAGGTATTCTTCTCATGGATAATCGACTCTACACGACACTATTGTGTTGAACTTGCAAAAGTCAAAAGACACCTGTCACTTTCGAGTTGCAAGCTGTAGACGTGGGAACTGAAATGGCAGTATCCTCACCGACAGCTTCAGCACGTATTGATCACAAAGCATTATGTTATAAGATTATCCCGTGCAATTGACCAATATCCTGCCACAGAATGAAAAAAAAACTGGAGAGCTATGGGTGTCAACCTTCTGTTGAAGCACAAGCGAGCTATTAGCGCCCAATCATCATCACACCCTTTAAAAAAAGATCCGTGCAAAGTGAATTCTTCGAATGAATGGTGGCTATGGGTTCGAAATCTCAGACTTGTAATGCTGCGGGGGAGTTACATTTTCAGTTGTGGAACTTCTGGATAAGTCTACTGATGTGACTCGCCTATAACCTCCTGCTTAAAGCCTTTCCATTGAAGCTGCTTACTTTCGAGAAAGAGAAAAGAGTTTGTTGTGGCAGGTTTTGATTAAGTCCAAATAGTGTATAAATCTGATATTACTACTCAGCAAGCTCCAAACATGCTTGATCGCGTTCCGAGCGTGCCTGTATTAAGCCCTGAAGAACCATTATTCCTGATAGTGATCGGTATAATCTGCTGCTAGTGCACGCCTTTTAATGACGAATTGCAAGCAGAATTAAGATATTCGGGGAAGGGTGTAAAGTTTAGCGTTTCACCCTTATCACTTCGCCTCTAGTAATTGGCGGAAGCCATTTTGGTAACGTTTTAGTGTGGATGCAGCACCTTCGCTCAGATTATATTAGCTGATGATAGGTAGTGCGAGATTGCCGAGCACACTACGCGGAAGAAGATGTGAATTAATAGGTTCGCAGTGACGACGCACAGAGAGCGATTTCGTGCTCATCACCCCAAAGCGGGAAGCCTCGCTTTTTATTAGTTGTGATATACATTTTTGAGCTTTGTTTAAATTAAACAAATACTAAAACTATCTGGTTTCCTCTGTTAAGTGCCACTATATATATTTGACGTGAAACCACCTTTCCCATGGTTCTGTTCGTCATCCTCATAACTTCCAGTACTATCTTTGGAGCTTCCAAGTAGTGTAATGTGTGCATACGCTACGTACGTAGTCACACCATCACCCATCATGATGCGACTACACTAGCCTGACGCCTTTTTGTCAGTTTCGAAATTGCGCAAAAGTGAACACTCGACGAGCACTCAATGCAATTGGGCAATATCACCACTTTACCTCTACACTGCTTGATCCTAACGAGCAACTTCGCCCCAATCGTCATCTCTCGTACGCTCACCCATATGGCTTAGCAATCCTTTAGGAAAATGCCCGGGTTTTGCGCCGAACGGCATCACTAACAGCCATGTTCGGCGAGGCGTCTGAAGTCTTCCGTGCTGAGTGATTGCAGTGACTCTTTGAGTATCGACACCAAGCCTTCGCCGTCTTTGAGGGGCGTTTAGAAGATTCGCCCCCATTCATGGCACTCCCCTATCTATGAGTGATGAATTTCACACTTGTTCCCTACAGCGGAGGGTGTTTAGTCACCCAGCCGCGAAGCTGACAACGTATAGATAGTTACTGGAACTAGATCTGGCACAGCAATCTGATATTGCCAGACTGCAAGTGCAAGACTGAAAGAGACTTTTGCCGACTGAAACATGTCGTAATTGTAGCTTTGATTCATTTAAGGCTGTTTACTACGTCGTGGCGTACTCGGTACGCGCGTAATGCCGAGGTGTTCTCTGAGGAGAACGGTCCCAATGACGTTTTGAATCCCGACCAAACACCTCCATCCTCACCCCATGATACACTCACAGCCTAGCCGTCTCTAAAGGTGGGGGACCTCACTGCTTTTAGCCTCGGTGTGGGTTTACCCTTCAAGCATCAGGGCGTGCGAACGAGGTTGTGGCTAGCCTCTACTAGCTGTGCCATCACAATGTTTGTTTAAGGTACTCTTAGCGGTTCAGAGTCGCTTCGCTGATTTGGAGCAGAAGGTAGCTCATCTACAGGGAGTGGCATGGACAAACTTCGTTTGAAAAGCACTTGTAATGTCCGACTTGCTTATAAGAGTGGGGTTGTAAAAAATGCTTTATCAAGCCCACAAAGAACACTATAGCCGCATTGACGTTAGGTTAAAAAAAACATAATTTATTTCATTTAATCGCCACTGCGATTCAGCGCGGTCTCAACTTGGCAATCATTGTATGCTCAGATAAGGAAGTAAAATTCAGCGAATGATTTTTCCTTACGTCATATTCTATGTGCTCTGCTTGCTTCTGGTATCGGCGTGTTGCTTTTGGTTGTGTGTAATTTCAGCCATAACGTCGCGCATCTTGCGCATGACGCTTATTTGATCGAGGTAATCTTAATAAATTTGCTTCGAAACGTTGTAGAGTCAACATCACGAAACCACCTCGATAAATATGTCGGGCCATCATAAAAAAGCTTAGCAAGCAGAATCCAATTTCTCTTCTGAGGTCGCCACCCAAAGAAACGTTATGTGCCGTGTACATCACTCTGCTTTTAAGATTTCAAACCTCACGCCCCCTGAAGCGCTGGGATCATGTGTACTACAGCAAGCATTGGGATGATCAATTGTTGTGCAGGCATGCAACCGCGCGTTTTGACTATATATGCTCTTTGAAATCAATGGTTTCCTAAGCTTTCAGCACTGCAATACACGCTGCATCGAACTCGCACGCTGTGTGTATTGCCTATATCGATTAAAATAGTAAACTCTGTGGCATGCAACAACTCCTCTTTAAAACTTTGCGTATGCACATCCTCTACCACACTTACCTAATACAACTCCAGAAGTCTCCTCGGAATGGGAATGGGATGGTCATCGTCTTGCCTTTTTTGTATGAATTGTGGTGACGCGTCGCTTTGCGCAATGACGGATGATCTGTTGAGACTACAAACGGCATCGGGCCAAGCAAGAGTATATTGGACATATCGATGGCATACTTCATTCCGAATTACTTCTTGTCATACAGAAGATTGCTCATTTCCACAGCTTTCAGCGGGATAGACTTAAACGCCGTAATGCATTTATACATTTTATATTTGCTTCTAGCATATCGTAGTCTATTGCAAAGAATAGAGCACCACAAAATGCGAAAACATAATTTGATCGACCAGACTTGTCTATGTTGGCGATTAGCTTGTTCAAGCGCATACGCTCGAGCACCACTCTCAAGTGTTTATGTGGGTCTCTGCATTCAACTCTGCGTAATCAACACGACTATGACGAATATATCATCAAAGAAGTTTTGTGCCTAGCCACGATGTGACCGGAACAACTGTGTCACCAAACAAGTAAACGTTGCTGTTGCTTAAAAATTCGCTATTACCAACCACTCTCAAATCATCCAATTTGAAGTACCCACAGCAGTGAGAAAGGTCTCACAGTTTCTCGTCAGCAGTCGATAATCAGATTCAGCTAGATTAGAGTACTGAACAAAGTGCATCCGATCTTACTTTTCTGAGCTCACCCATTTATATTGCAACATACCAATTTTAGAAATCGGCGTTTGCTGCGAGATCGTGGCTGCAAACACTAAATCCGCCACAATCCGCTAGACATTCTGACATAAAAAGTTGGCGCCGTGTGTCGAGGTTAACTTTTCGCAACAAACCCGCTTCATGATCGCATGAAAGCATAGAGTTACCATGGTAAGAGCCATCGTAGTATGACGCAAGATTTGGTTCCTGAAATCAAGTCAATTGTGTTACGCACTTGCCCTATCTGGGAGTTATACGCGTGGTGGATCTGTAATCTCCACGTCGTGATATTACATCATAAAAACGACGAGATATACATATACTACCAAGTTCAGCGGGGCTGCCGTAGCTTTGCGTTTGAGGAAGCGTCTTTAGGTAAGCGATCTTTCGTTCTTTACAAGAACCACATCAGCTTTTAAACCCGTCCTGCATGCCCTGGGGCAAAGAGGAAAATTGTACCATTATCACAGAAGATCAGTCTAAAGAACTCAGATGTAGATTGACTACAAGTGCTCCTCCATGATAGCGGTCCACGAATTCTTCAGCGATACTGAACCAACAATCCAATTTTCGGTAACCCTGTCGTTTGTAACTTAATGCACAAATCTCGAGGAATAATTCTCCTAACTTTGTAAGATCTTCGCTGGAGGTAGCGATGGGGGACAAGGAACCACCCGATAATTCTAGTGACACGAGTGATATAATTTTCTTTCCTTTACCACGTACATATTTGCAGCACAGCCAGCTTTATCAACATTTGATTCGTATACAGAGGCTATTCTGAATATTTGTTTACTCAAAAATTTACAGTATCTTTTCCCTTGGACGATTTAATCGTAGTCTTTTGATAGTCTTGGAAACCGTTCGCACACGTGGAGCTCAAAACGTCGGGCGCTTTAATAAGATGCAACCTAACTACCCGCCGCGTGGATTTGGCGGTCACGCCCCTTCTCAGCAGCAGCAGGCGCCTCGTAGTGGTGGTGGATATGTGCCGCTAAACGCCGGTTCGTGGCAGCTATGTGCTTTCTAAAATATTCTTCTCGCCAACATGTGACGTTAACAGGTTACAACAACATGCAGTACAACCAGCAGAACCAGCCCTTGTCGCAGCCGTCAGGTACCTCTATCGTATATTATTAATACTTGCAACCCTTTCTAATGTATACCTCAGGCAGCTTTCCTGGCCGTGGAATACCGAACGTCCAACAGCCTCCTGCTCCCCATTCTGGCTTTGGAGGTCGTCCGGGATTTTCAGGGCAAGTGCCAACTTTAGGTTCGCAAAGCTCCTTACAACCTCCTCCTCAGCAAACGGTCTTCTCAGGTCCGCCGTCCCATGGAAGCAGAGGAATGCCACAAATTAATCGCGGACCGCCAAGCGCGATGTCCGGAGGCATGGCGCATCCTATACAGAGCCCACTCGCACCGAGATCATCCCAAAATGCACCGTCTGCAGCCGCGCCAGGATCTTTTCAGTCGATGCCCCCGGGTGTTACGGGACCAAGGCCACAGCTACAGCAGGGATCTACCCCTGGTCTAGGAATGCATTATAACGGAGCGCCACCTCTGCCTGGTGGGCATCTCGGTCCTTCCCCTCCGCAATATAATGGCCAAATGCAGGGACCACCACCTCCTCAAGCAGGAGCTGCGCCATATCTTCAGCCAAATCGAAATGCTGGACCGTACTCTGCACCTGGTGTTGCTGCTTCACCTTACAATGCACATGGGGCTTCAGGGCTTTACAATCAACCTCAACAGGGAGGATTTCATCAGCAACAGCAGCATCAGGCTTCTCAAGCTCCAAAGCAGCGAATCGACCCGACCCAGATCCCGCGGCCCATCGTCTTGACGGAACGGGAGCAGTACATAGCGCGGGGTCATACTGTGACGATGCCACCTGCTGCTTCAAGTGATTACGTGTGTATTGACGAGGGTTGTTGTAATCCCCGCTTCATTCGACCAACTCTCAACCACGTTCCGGTGACACAAGACTTGTTGAAACAATGTGGCTTGCCACTCGCCGCAGTGATTTGCCCACTGGCTGACCTCCAAGAAGACGAATTGCCGATCCCGCTTGTCGATTTTGGCCCAAGTGGTCCATTGCGATGCACGCGGTGTGCTGCGTATGTTAATTCGTTTACCAATTTTATTCAAGGCGGACGCAAGTTTGTTTGCAATATTTGTCAGCTCAACAACGAAACACCGCGCGATTATTACTGCAGTGTAGACCAGTATGGCAAGCGTCGAGATGTTCAAGAACGACCGGAGCTGTCTCGAGGCTCGGTGGAATACGTTGTGCCACCTGTCTATACCATTCGTCCGCCACAAGAACCTATTTTAGTCTTTGTTCTGGACGTGTCGCTGTTTGCAATTCAGACGGGTCTCGTGGATAGTGCCTTACAGTCGATTCAGTATCTGCTTCCCTCTGTGGCTCAAAATAGGCGAAAAAAGGTTGGCATCGTGACTTTTGACACGACTGTGCACTATTATCGTATGAACAATGGTGCTTCTTCTTCGATCTCTATGATAATTTGTCCTGACATTGATGATCCCGTTGCGCCATTGCCTCCTGCTAGTTGGCTTGTTTCTATGGACGACCCGGCTGCTTCTGACAAGATCAAGGAACTGTCTGAAATTATCACGCGTTCTTTTGAGAATACTGCAAAAAACCAGTCGGTTTCAGGTGCTGCGCTCTGGAGTGTAGCCGATGCTTTGTCGATTGCTGGTGGGCGAGTCGTACTGCTTCACGCTGGTGCTCCTCGGGTGGGTGTTGGCAAGGTGAAACGCGAAGAAGTTAGCGGTGCTTATGGAACCACCAAAGAGGTTGAGCTTTACACACCAGAGGACAATAATGTATACGAGAGCTTGGCCCAACAATTTGCCGAGCGTCACATTTCCTTGGATGTGTTCTCAGTTGCTAACACTTTTGCGTCTCTAGCTGACGTTGGCCGCGTATGTGAGCTCACTGGTGGTCGGGTGCAATACATGCCTCAATTTGAAAAGGAACAGTCAAGCAATCGCCATCACCTTACTAGTATGCTGCAGCGACTAGTCGATCGTGATTGCGGATATGAGGCGGTGCTTAAAGTGCGCTGTAGCGCTGGCTTGCGTGTTGAGCACTCGTATGGAAACTTCTACAACACGCGCGGAGGTATGAAAGATGAGATGGAGTTCGCTGTGATTGACCAGGACCGTTCTATATGCGTGACATTTGCGTACGATGAGCCTCTTGCGGCGGATACGGATGTATACATTCAAGCGGCTTTACTTTACACTCGCGGTGACGGCTTGCGCTGCGTACGTGTGCACAACTTGGCACTGCAAGCAGACCCATTGCTGTCAAATGTATTCCGCTTTGCCGATTTGGATGCTACATGCTCGGTGTGGCAGCGCTGGGCAGCACGACAATTCGTCGATAAGCAACTTATGCGTGCGACGCCAATGGCGGTCAAAGAATCGCTAGTCGATCAATGCGTAACCGCACTTTTCAACTACCGCAAATTCTGTGCTTCTTCGTCCTCTTCAGGACAACTCATCCTGCCCGAATCCTTGAAGTTGCTGCCTTTATACACTTTGGCAACGCTCAAGAGTCGTGCTTTGCGTGCAAATCTAATGGGTAATCCCCCACGGGGATTTATTGACGTGCGTGCTGATGAGCGCGTCATGATGATGGGGCTACTTAATAGTTTGCCGGTCGAGTTTTGCGTTTCAGCCGTTTACCCAAAGCTCTACAGTGTTCACGATCTGGCAGATGACTGCTGTACATTAGACGAAGATGGCAAGTTTCTTCTTCCTCTTCAGCTTCCGCCAACTGCTGAGAAGTTGACCGAAGAAGGCATATTTTTGTTACACTCAGCAATGTGCTGCTATATTTACATTGGCCCCAAGGCCTCCCCAGAGTTACTGCTTGAGCTCTTTGGCGTCGATAACGCAGATACGGCCGAACAAACTCTGAGCTTGTTTGAACCACTCGAGAATGAGCCTTCCGATGATGAAGGAATGAGCGCTCGTGAGCGATTGCGGTCGCTTGTTGAATATCTAAACTCGACGATCCCGATTTCTCAGCCCTTGGAGATTTTAAGCAAAAATGACTGGCGGGCTAATCGTTTTATGAGCGCGCTGGTAGAGGATCGTACTCAAAACGACGTTTCGTACGTCGAGTTTTTGGTCCAGGTGCATAAGAATATTCAACACAAATTTCGCTAGACCAAGAAAGAAAAAAGCATGTAGTAGGATGCATCATAAAGGCGTAAGAAAGTTATGCGAGTTGTTTTGCTCGTCATTTAGATCATTCGAAATCCATTCGACCACTTATGAGAAACAAATTACAGAACAACAATATCAACCTCACAAGGAATCTCGATATCTCATGAAGACTTGTCTAGATCCACGGTGTCCATCCTTCGTACATGAGACAAAGATTATCTATATTCGTGGCTTCATCAATGAGCCACGATGCCTGCTGTTCCACGGTTAAAAGTGCTGGAGCGGCTGTCACTTCCGGTACAAATCCCGACAACTTTTCCTCGATACGCTTTAGGACTTGCAAACCGTACAAGCTTTTCTCTTCCACGCTCATGGAAGTTTTAGCAGCAACGTCATTGGAGTTGCAGTCACTACTCACGTCCATGGCCAATTTTTCTTCAAATTCAAGAATCGCGGAATTGTCGTAAGTTTTGTCTTCTGTAGCTATTTCATCTGGCATAGACGTGACTTTCCAGATTTCATTGTTTTGAATGCTAGATAAGTGATTAGCCATCTCGGTCGCTTTGAAAAACAGCTTAAGGCATCCACGCAAAAGATATTGAGCCTCAAAAAGTGGAGAATTCGATGATCCATCCGATTTGCAAACTGTGATCACCTCAGTCTCATTCTTACCTATCTGCAACGTCTCCATCAGATCAAGTAAAAGCTTTGATAGCAGATAAACTTGCGATGACTCGTCGCATTTATCGTCGTCACTTAAATTTTGCCCAACTTGCATAACAAATTTGGATAGCAAACGGTCAAGTTGGCTAATTGTGTCACGAAGTAGGATACTCTGTTCGCCGTGATTTTTAAGGACTTCCTTCAGCACCTGATAATGATTAACTGACTGTATACTACGCAAAAGCATTTGTACAAGCCGATCGTTCTCCGAATATAAGTATCCAGTAGAAAACTCTGTCGACTGTGCATCTCGCGTATTAGCTTTCACTTGATGATGCACACTCGAGGAAATCACAGATTCAGCAGCTCGTTGATTTGATGGATCTTTCAGCGCGTCAGAGTTATTAAGCAGAGCTCGCATTTCATTTGCGTATTTACTTAGCACGTGCGCGACCTCAACAACCGTGTGCTTGTAGTCAAGACACAACGAATGCAGCTCACTTTCCGCAGCAACTTTTTTAGAGGCGACGGCATCATACATGTCCTGTGTTTGCTGAAGCTTGCCTTGATACTCTTGTACTTGTGTCACCAGGACATCAAGTGCCTCATTTAGCGACTGCATCTCCAGTATAACGCTTGACGCTGACTGAATAATGATTGTGCCAGCAGTGTCGACCTCAAGCTTTATCTCGCCGCTTGATGTCTCAATGAGACTGATTCCCTGTACGAGATCACCCAAAGTCCGTCCATAATCAACCAGACCCGCTACTTGGTCGTAATAATTATGAATGTAAGTGTGCAAATTCTCATTTGTAGAGTGCGATATATTGCTTATATTTGAGGCAAGATAATCCAATTGCTGGGTCAGCTCCGTTACGCTTGCTTGCAAAGCAACTTGATCAGTAAGCAATGCATTCAGTTGAGGAACTTGAGAGAGTATACAGGCTACCAGCTCAGTACGAGTGAGATTGGTTAATCCATCCTCAGCCGGCTTCGCTCCTGCTAGCCATGTGGCATACCGAATACGTCCTACATGTCGAGCTTTAATCGTCATTAGATGCTGTGCCCAGGCATTAAGCTGAGCTTCGCCCCATCTATAAGACAAACACTCGTTGCAAGTCGTCATCAGTTTTACGACAGAATTGGTAACATTACTCGCTTGCATCTTTAAAGTCGCAGACAACGAATCATTCATCGTAGATGGCAAGATATCTTCAATTTGGGAGCGGGAAAATTCGGTCCATCGTTCGCTAAGAGCTTCCACCCCAAAAGCCTCAGTTTTATCAGCCCGTCGGTCAAATGCGTTGAAATCAAACTTCCACTCATGGATAATAATACTAAAAAGTTGATATCGGAATAATATCGACAAACACTTCGATACAAAATTATCGATATGAGCCGACCACAATGTGCGTGTTTCTTGCACTTTAAAATCTGCATCATAATCTGACACAGCAAAAAGGTTAACGACATTTCGCTCAAAATCAAGCCAAGTAGTACTGGATAGATCACTTATGCGTGCAGCTTCTTCACCAGTCACTATTGACATCAAACAGAGGTTTTCAACAAGCACTGAAATCTTCTGTATGATAGCAAAACCAGCGACTAGTAATTTGCAGAGCCCCGGTTGCCCCGTCAGCATCGTCTGGATAGAAGAACTTGAACCATTACTTACATCAAGCATCGACAATGAAACTATTGCCTTATGCTTATTTTCACTAGATGTTGTCAGCACCTCTTTCACAAACTTCTGCAAATGCCTACTCATGCCAAAATCTCGTCCATATAAATTCGATATAAATTCGTCTTGAAGCACAAAAGAAAAGGACCCTATTTCTTGCAGAACTTCGTAAAATCCAATTAGACACTTTCCAACGTCCGCTTTATAATTGCGATCGTGGGCGAGCGCAAATAAATCATTTGTTCGAAGCCTTTTCATTGATCCTTTTGGTGTTGAGACCAAATTAAGTAAAACGCAACATGCATGGGTCATTGATGCTATAGCCTCGAATTTCTGTGGCACTTTAAGCGAGGGCGTGAAGGCGCCAACGTTTGAATAGCAAGTCGGCTCATCTAAATGCTCGAGAGCTTCGACAATCCATGACGCACCGGCTAGTTTTAAAAGGCGTTGGCCCTGGGCATTGGATAAATTCATCGCAAAAAGATCATTCGATGTAATCTGAAGCAGCTTGTTTGCGAGCAATATGCGAGATGCCTCATTTAAACTACTAACCCCAGCACCAACCTCAAATTGAGTTTCATCTAGTCGACTTAACACCATTCTCGACTCAGCAATATCCTCTTCGGATGGGGTAGGGCAATTCATAATAGAAGTGGCGTATTCTTGGGTCTGCCCTTCTACCAGCCCACGCAAGTACTCAGTGCAGAGTTTCCACCACTTGAAATACACATCCTTGCCTTCGAAGTTCTGCGCTAGTGTTATGTACGCATCCAGCTCCTTCCGCTGGTGGCCATACGACGAAAGAAATGGAATCAAATAATCTGCGATTTTTTTAATCTCAAAACGCGAACGTATCACGTTTGCGTCAACTAATCTGCATTTTGACTCTAGCGCAGCCACAAGCTGACTCAGTGAACCAGCGGACGTCGAAAGCTTTGAAGCGTCGCGTAGTGTGGCGTGAATAACCTGGAAAGACGTAGTATCGACAGCAATTGTAACCGCTTCAAGTTGACCCAAAGGATCAGACTCTGCAAACGTGACACATTTTTGCTTCAACTCTTGGATATGACGATGTCGTTTGAAGCAATCAGCAGCAAAATTAGTTAATCTGTCAGCAATATCGGTACATCGGGCTGTCAAGGACGCAAGTTCTGCGCGTTTACACTTTTCTGCTTCCTGAATTGTTGATAGCTCTGCTTTTGTGCTTGAAACTTCCTTTAATAATGTACGTTCTTTCCATTCTAGTGACATCAGCAGCTTTCGCTTTTCTAACATCGTCAAAAATGGAACAGCTGATTCAGTAAAAGTTTTGGATATAAAGTCAGCACACTGTTCAAACTGACGGCCGAAGGCAATCGTAACTTGTCGTCGTTCTTCAGCCCGTGACAAGAATAAAGAAAGATTCACGTTCGCCTCCAGTCGAGCCTTCAAATCCACTTCTCGCCCTTGCCGCTTGTCGTCAGCATTCCAGTCCACAAGAGGACTATACACGAAAGCTTCAATCAAAGTCAGCAACGCTTCACGAACATGATCTGAGCGTACGATCCTTAAAGTTGTTTCAAATGCTGTACGAAACTTTCCTTCAACCCCCGTAACTCCAAGCGCGTCCTGCAGCATGGGCGTTAGCCGAAATGGCACAATTTCGGACACTTTGAGCCTACGCCCCTTATCAAAGCATACATTGTAGTCAATATGAACAATGTCTCCACTAACGATGCACAGCAAAATATTGTCCAAATGCCTGTCACCCAACCCAATAATATACCCTAAGATGGACATGACCGCAAGAGAATTGCAAAATCGCGTAATTTTCGTCCAGCTTTGTCTCAAGTCTTCACTCTGAACGAGAATCTCCTGTTGCACAACATTGCGTGGACGCTGGGCTACAAGTTCCTGGTAAACCTCATTAAGCACGGATACCGGCCATTGCGATCGATTGCTCGGTGACACATTCGTTATACCGTGCTGCTTGAGCTTTGCGTAAAACTGAGCTGTTGGCGGAGAAGGTTGCTGTTGTGCTGACGATTCAGCGACAGATTCTTGCTGTGCTCGCCCCATTGCATCATTTTGAGAAGTATAAACTTGAAAAAGAGGAATAACATGCGGTACCATTTGGATCAAGCCAGCGTTTTTGGAAAGCGGAATGACACTATAGCTTTGAGCTGACAAATCGCGAGCTCCTGCGTCATCGTCAGCTTTTAGAAAGTCGTTTGTCACGCGTAGAAACTGCATAATTCGCTCATCTAGTCGCAAATCTTCGCGGGCTTTGAGCAGGTAGCTATATGTTTTACCATCGGATCCAATCACCTCTAATGACTTAGGCCTGGTCTTTGTTCGCAGTACGGTCACAGAAGAATTAAGGCGATGAATATTGATGGGCTCCACTTTATCTGATGTTGATTCCAGCACTGCACCAGGTATGTTTGTCAGAGCTAGTAGACGAGAGGTTGAAGCCATTGCCGGTGATATTTCAAGGAGAGGAAGCTGTTCGCGGTTACCTCTGGCATTCATTAATGTCAATATATCTACAAATGGTTGCCAGAGGTCTGTGGCAGTTATTCTCGACGCTAGATGGTACTCTGCATTACAGCCGTCACGAAAGTTTGTCATTGCCTTGTCAATCAATCTTCCATAATCTACTAGAAAATTTCGCTCGTGTGGGGTTAGAGCATGATGATCACGGGCGTTACCGCACGTTTCTTCCCATAATTCAGAAATCGAAACGTAAATCGGCTTCATAATTGCAACCATTTTGCGGTAAGTTAATTCGTATTTCTCCTTCGTTGACAAAGATGTATTTTTTTCCAGGCGACAAGCTTCTTTCTCTAACGTACTAACTCGCCTAGATACATCCGCCGATAGCTTAACAAGTGTACTGATCCAGTTTTCGTCCCACAAAATCGATATTCGACAGAGTTCCGAAACAAGTAATCGCACGCCCTCTAGTTGTCCAGACGACGCATTTTGCAGCTCTTTTAAAACCGCAACAGAAAATCTATTTACACCATAATCTTCTGCGTGGCCACTAGCTTCAAAATCCATAGCGTCAACTACAGCTGGGTAAACAATCGCATGAGGGAAACGAGCGGCTAAGCGCTTGAGAATTGAGCAAATCAAGGTTGCGACTATAGGAACCGAATGATTCGCGCGAGCGATTACTTGCGGGACGACGTAGGACCACGGAATCACTGGTCCATGTAAAATAACATCTTGAAGCGCTAAAACTACTTCGTTTTCAGATCCAAACTGCGTCAAAATGCCAAGCATACGAAGCACGATCATTGTTCCTTCCTGCCTTGGAATACAGTGACTCGAGTCGCTGTAGCGCATAATCAGGTATTTTCCATATCCACGAGCAGCCAATGCGTGATAATGAAATATACTCAAGTGGCATTTTCGATGTAGCCGCATCAAACGATCAATAGCATCTTGATTGTGATCGGACAATGCTAGCTCGGTACATAATTGGCGAAAATTTTCAATGCGCTTACTTATAAGGTCGCCTTTTTCAAGAACCTGACAAAATGCATGAAAAATTTGGTCGCGGTCTCCTTTACAAAGCCCAATTTCATCCATAAGGCCATTAAGCTCTGATTCATCCTCAAAGTTCAACTTGACGTATCCATGATGATCAATAATTTGTTTCATTTCACGCTTTCCAAGACCGTAACACCAATGACTATAGTGAGTCCAAGCCTTCGCAGAATGTGGCGATAGAGCAAGTGCAGTCTGGAAGCATCTGTCGGCGAATGCATCTTGCGGATTTGGAGTAAAAAAAGAGGCACTCGATAGATCATCAGCTATTTTGATTGAATTAGCGCCGATAGCACTACTCGCAAATAGAGTTACCGCTGACGAGGAATACTCCTCATTAGCTGCACTACCGCTTAGCCCAGCAAGATGCAAGAATGATCGCGTGGCAACACTTTCTATTCCAGTGGTATCGCCACATCCAATCAACTGCAAGACTTTTCCGCATTGGGTTTCAAGAAGCTCCCGCCCTTGTTTCATCATCCCGGATGCCTCCAGTAGCTTTGCTTTCTCGTATATCAAAGTCATAGCTGCTACGAGACTTGCATCTTTTATATTTTCTGCTTTCTTTAAAAGGGCTTGAGCGAGGCTGTAATTGTGCTGCTTTCGGGCTAGTCGAGCTATCCCAGAAAGGTGTAAGCTTTCAGCATCAGAATTCCAGCGTGGTCTGCAGTAAGTTTGAGCCCAAGTAATAGAATCATACACTTTTGGATTGAGTTTCACAATTTCCAAAACTGTTTCAGGTGGAGATTGTTTGACTGGATGCAGTACATTAAACAATCTTAAGACAATTTCTTCAGCGTTTTTGCCGATCTTTTCACCCACGTAGCCATTCCAAGGAGATGGCTGTAATGCCAGCGGAATTAAGTCTTGTCGAAGCTGAGCAACACTGGGTTGATTGAGCAATGAGGCGCTTGAAGGTCCAAGGTTTGTTTCGGCGACAGCGTCCCACACGCGTAGCGCTTGTGCTGCTTCATTTATGTGATCCTCCTTCTGATCGTTTTCTTTGACGGTATCATCTGTTGACGTCTCAAGATCACTAACGATGCCAATTTTGTTGCTCCAACAATCACAGCAGGAAAGAATTGCATTAATTTCCTCAATAGGGTAATTGTAGTTTACAAGAGAGCTAACAAGATCGATACATCGGGAAACAAGCTTGCGCAACTTAGTCCACTCCCGCAGAGCAGCATAACATTGAGCACATTGCTTGATACAGCCCAGCAGTGCCGATGGAGACATCCTTAGGAAGTACATGGGAGACTCAAAAATCTTACCAGGACAATTTTCTTCGAGCATTTCACGTGCTAGCACTTTATCCAACACAGTTTCGTATTCCATGGCTGCGTCTTCGTAACGCATTTCAGCCTCATAGCGAATAGCAATCAGCCACTTAAACAATGGCATCTTGCGGTAATATTCAGGAATGTCCTTATTTCCTTTCTGCAACTGATAAATGTCATTCAATGTCGTGGTAAGTGATACACTCCATTGCTGAAAACCGATGATTGAATCGGCGTCTTTTGCATCGCAATGACATTGGCAGAGCGAGAACAATGCGGCATCGAGATCTTTTTCGGCCTGTGTGAGCTCTTTTGTCATCACTTCGAATGATTCGAAAGATGTATAAGAAGTCATGGCTTTACTGAGCTTATTGTAACAAATTATCATTAAGGCGTGACAGTGATATCGCTTCAACTCGTAACAGGGTGCACATTTCGTCATCTCCACCAGATATGGCCGAATTCGGTTTAGCCAATCGTCACATACAACCTTGTTCGTACGAAAAAAAAGAACGGTCTTGTATTCTTCACTCTCCGACTTACTTTGATCCATTTCAGGGGCACGAATTGCAAGAGTCATACGCAATTCTAACTCATTGACGAACTCGAGCAACAACCAGTTTAGCAACTGGTGCGGGATACTGTTCGTTGAAGAAGTACAAGATAAGTTATCTGCATTGTTATTCTGTAAGGCTACTCCAGCTCGATTTTGAGCCTCATCAGAATACTCCTGTAACAGCCGCTCGATACTAGCAAAATTTTGAGCTGGGCCCCCGATAAAAGTGCGGAGTCTATTTTGAACACACCAAGCTGCTGCTTGGCGTACCGCACCCAGAAGAACGCCTGTGTTTCCGAAAGCCACATTTGGTTTGGTGCGAGCCATGATACTTCTACAGACTCGACTCCATTCGCTTTCATCACACTCTCGGAACAGGAAGCGACAAAATATAGATTCAAAATCAGCACCAACGAACGAGGGTATTATATATTGTGATCTGGAACGACGCTTGCACAAAGAAATTTGCTTTGACAATGCAGAGCGCGCTACGCTGCTGAAGGCAGACGAAACAATAGTGCGCTGTATAACGGGGCTGGGATCCAACAACAGAATCAGTATCATGTCGAACACTTCTTTAGCGATATTGCAAGCATCCGTTCGACGATTAAAGACTTCCAATAACCGAATGCATTTATCTCGCACTCTCACACTGGAGGAATATAGGACTTTGGCTGTCATTTTCAGAAGAGAACGGCTTAAATCTTGCGGAATTAGCGGGATGATTGTCGCCTTAGAGATCATGGAATAAATCATTTGCAGCGTATCGGTAGTAAGACGATGGTTTCGGAGCACCATAGGTTCACTATACAGCAAACCAATTGCAAACTCCAATATATGCAGTGATGCCTCTCGCATAGTCTCCACAACGTCGCTCAGAGTATCAATATGATGACAAATAGCTTCTAGAAATGCGCAGGCCATTTTCAACACGAGGCACAATTGCCGAGGAGTCAATTCGGGCTGACATCGGTGAGTCTTTTTCAATGTCGCTGAAATCAGATCAAAAATCGCAATTACGTGCATCGCGCAATTATCATTTACAAGATTCAATCTCTTGAGATCTCTGGAGACCAGAATGAAACACGTAGCAGCAAAGACAAAATAAGTATCTTTCGTTTCACCATTTAGATCGTTCAGGTTCTGAAGCGCGCTTTCTCCAAATACCTATTCACATAAGCAAAATGGTAGTTTGCTAGAGTTACAAGCAAATTCACCGATACAACCCAAAAACGAACCTTAACCGCGCCAATTCCACCCACTTTGACTAATTGTAGACACAATTGAGTGACGTATGGTACCACGTTAGCAACTTCCAGGCGGAGCAAGCAATCCAAAAGCTTCACACGCTGAAACTGGCCGCTTTTATTCACATAACGAGATGATATTTCGTCACCTAGGATGCTTATCGCCACAGATTGTACAAACGGCGAATCACTGATACTAGAAAAGTTTGCATTTGCCAGCTTGCAAGCATTACATAGCACTGTCAAGATTTTATCCACTTCACAATCACGCAAACAAGACTGCACAGCACAGTGATGAAGCAAAAATCCTATCGCTGCAATGGACTGAGGAGCAAAGCTACTTTGTCCTGAGTTAGAGACCGACACCAAATAGTCTGAGCAATTCGCCAAACAAAAAATACTTTTACAACATCATAATCAGCTTTAGCAGTTGTCGAGCAATAACCTTTCGCACAAGGCTCCACTTACGAGTACTCTGGCTGCGGACAAGCAGCAACGCAATCAAGCACTTTTTTGAAAGGGCTTTCAGCACCTTCTAGAGCTACGATGGATACGCACAACAATGCATGAAAATCAAGTGTTGCGACCATCACGAGCAATAAGAAATACATGTACTTACCAAGGACAGGAACGCATTGCGCGACCATCATGAAACAAGTCAATAGAGTACTTAGGCGATCACTGTCGCCATCTTGATTCCAATATTCACATAGGCTTAAAATTTCCTTCGCCGGCAAACTTTTCAAAATCAGGCAAAGTTTCATGAGCGCTAGTATTATGCACGTACATCTACAAATGAGTTCATCAGCTGAAGGCTAAATACGCTATTGTCTGCCCACAAGCGGCCAAAGTTATTTGATAATGCAAGAATCTCTTCCCTTATCATCCCAAAAGTCTTAAGTTCATATCCAAAGCTTTCAGCGGTACCGACACATGTAAACCTACCGCAACGGACTGTGTGGCCCCGTACTCATCATCCAGCCAACCAGAACATCTGCGACATCTACAAAGTGCGGCTGTAGTTTCTTGAGCATCAATAAGTGCCACATGTTTGTGTCTGACTGCATCAACAAGGCCTGCAAGTACTTGACTAGTTGATCCACAAGAGCCACATCGGCTGTATGGTCCAGCAACGTTCGCCACATCTGCATGACTCCAGCAAAGACACGGTCAAACTGTTTAAACTCGAACGACTCTTCCTGCCAGTTTAAATCATCATCCTTTTTATCTCGAGGCACCGTTTTTTCTGTCTGTAGCAACAACGCGTAACTCCACTGCACAAGCCACGGTTCGTAGCCCGGTTGTCTGTTGTTACCGATCCAATTGCTAAACCCCGTCGGATTGTGAGCTGATAGCGCGAGTAGCATAGCCATGACGCTTGTTTGTAGCTCTTGACTATCGTCCATGGGTGTGAGTAGTACATCCATAAGCAAGGGCAGATATGGCTCATACGACATCAGGAGACCGGGCGTGGGAGACAAATGACGAAAGTATTCCTCTAGCTGCTGTGCAGCCTTAACACGCTTCTTAACACTCATTGCGCCAGCAGATAGAAGTAATTGCAGCGCCATGAGCGGATTAAAGGGAGGCAGCGTCGCATCGGACGCTGCTGGCCGCATTATGGTTGGCACGAAGTGTAAGATGAGTGGAGACTTACTTACACTTTTCGTGACAATTTACGTAAATGCGAAGGTAAATAAATAATACTGCTTAAATAACAATCAGCGCAATTTAAGAAATTCAAATTGATAAAAAAAACTTTTTCTTGCGAATTCAAGGACTTGTCGGTGTGAATGCTATAAGCCTTTTTAACTTCGTGAACCTTTCCACCTTCATTGTATTATCAAGAAATGAGTTTTTTAATCCTTTCGGCGATCTCCTTCGTATATGGGAAACGTTGAAGCCATGTAATCAAATCTAACACATCAGCGTCAAATAAACCTTGCCGCCTCAATATTTGAAGAATATCTTCATCGCTTATGGTATCGCCATCCAAATTCCTGAACATGTCCACATAGACGAGCCATTCGCGAAGCTTTTTATAGTCAAGACCGTCCTCCGCTTCAAAACTTAAAAGGTCTTCAGGGATCCAATGACTATCTAGCAGAGATTTGTTGTGCCGGGTAATTTTCAAGTACTCCAACAAGCCATCTGCTATTTCATTCATGTCTGGTCTCTCCTTAATTGATTCAAGCAGCTCGTTTACGGCATCATCCGATCCCACTTTACTTCGTAACATAGCAATACAATCGTCGTAGCCAAAAACACTGTATCTAGCTCCCGCTTCTGGACCACTCCAGTAAAAATCGAGGTAACCAAGCCACTCACCATACAAGTAGTCATAGCGGCCTTCCCTCGAACGAAAAATCTCAAGAGCTTGCTCCGGAGTTGTCGAAGATCTCAGCAAAGCTTCATACACCTTCTGCCTGGTGTTGGATTGGGTGACCATATAAATTTGCATACGTTTGATGAGGGCCATTATGTCCGGGACTTGTTGTAACCGTTCGACTGGGTTGAATAAATCTACAGGCGACTTAAGCTTCTGCAGCAAATCATACAGATCTTCGTCTGTAAATTCGACGTTTTTACCGTTTGCGATAGCCCTGTAATCATTTACGTAAGTGAGCAACAGGTACAGCTTGCTGTTGTCAGCATCATCCACAGAATCGAGTTTAAGAGCATTGAAAAATTCTGTGGGGCTCACTCTACCAGCAGGCAAATGCTCATTGACTTGTAGGTGCATCAGCATTGCTTCGGTAAATTTCGTCATGTCCGGGTCTTGACTAATTGAGTATAATATTACCCACAAATCTTGATCCGAGTGCGTACTTCTCAATAAATCAATACAGTCAGTGGAATGAAACTCGGATTGCCTAGCATTACCTTCCGGACCGCTCCAAAACAGCTTGATGTAATGAAACCACTCGGTAAGCAAGGCTTCACTGAAATGAGACTTTTCATTCAGGCGTAGCGTGATATAGACTTGATACGGGCTTACAGCAAATTGTAACCATGCGTCGTACATCTTTTGCCTGAGTGCAGGTTTAGAGACCATAATATCCTGCAGAGCTTCTGCGATTTTCGTGAACTCCGGTGTTTGTTGAAGCGCGACCGACAGTGTCGCCACAGCAGTATCGGATTTCGTGACACTCAATAAATCATACAAGTTCTGGCCAGTAAAGATCACATTTCCTTCCAATTTATTGTACGAGTTGACGTAATTGAGCCACCAAACAAAAAGAAAGTGGTCATCATCGTCCTCTCTTGCCAGGCCCAGGATGTGAAACACCTCTTGAGGGCTCTTTCGAGCTGCTAACCAATCAGTCTTCGCAAGAATTTCTGCTACGTGAATCAACATTTGACTGGCCAGATCATTTGCAGCTGATAATTTGTGGTTATGGCGGATCGATTGGAACAGCATTAGCACTTCCGCATCCGTCTTCTTCTTTTTCACTAAGTTGTAAATCGCGCTATCCGTAAAATGGGATATTCCACCTTTTCTTGCTCTATATTCGCTCACGTACTTAAGCCAACGAACAAATCGTACGTTCTTATCGTGATCCACACCAGCTCGTGAAAGCATATACACAAGCTTCGGGTTCAGCCTTAATTTCATAGCCAATCTCCCGATAGCATCGTAAATCTTTGACATCCATGGGATCTCACCTCTCTCTTCATCCATTAAACCTCCCAATGTCGTCTCGATTTGCAAACGCTCATCGTAGGACGCTAAGACTCTTTCTGAGTGGGCCGAATTCGTCTCAGCAGCTGTGACGGGATGAGGTTCTATGAGACGTTTGGGACTGACTTTACCTGCGGTCTCTATTAAGTTTGCACGGGTAGAGAAAGCATAGCACGCAACGATGAAAAAGGCTGCCAGGACACGCATTCCGACGTTGAAAAATATACTCGAAATGTTGTCAATCCTTTAGAAAAAAACAGTTGCTAACCAATTATAAATTTGGATGCCTGATGGGTTTTTATCGTGCAGTATACCAGAGATGGAGCATAAGATGAGGTTACCGTCCGAATTTAAATATCCGTTTACTTCTTACCGAATCATCTGGCAATCCTTTAGAAAAAAACAGTTGCTAACTAATTACAGACCATAGGATGAGGTCACCCGTCCGAATTTTTATATCCAGAGAACTGATTACATAATAATTTGATTACGGTAAGCAAATCTTGAAATTGACCAAGGTCAGTACAAGCATTAAACAAACTACCACCACTCAAAACGAAGTAGTGGTGCTCTGCATGGGTACCCTACCACTTTTGTACAATCGATATTGCGACGTTTACATGGCATTTTGTGTAGTTTTGAATTTTTCTTAGTACAGTAATATCGGCACTTATAAACACCGTAAAAGAAACACACATCAAGTGATACAAATAGTTTAATGACGACTCGTCTGTAAAATAGTATTAGTTTAATCCTCAAGATACAATTTTCTTGAAATAGCTGAGCAAACAAGACTTAGGGGCTCTCGATCTCGCTTCATGTTGAGTGTACGGGTCCAATAGTTTGTGTAAATAGGCGCAATTCACAACAGTCTCTC